AAATATTTTATTATAATAACAATAATTTAAAAATTTAAATTTATATATTTTTCCATGAATAACAATTTTATATTGTAAAAGTTTAGAAAATTTTTGTGTAGACGTTTATTACAAAATCTTATTGAAAAACTTAAAAGTTTTATTCTATAATTTCGAAATTTTATATTATTTTTATTAACTTTTCTCGTCCTATCATTCTAAAAGGCTCTTTTTTCCATTTCCTCCGTGGTTTTTGCTAGGCCCTTAATGGAACGGCGGCCTGGTAAGAGTCAAGGCCCGACATTTCTTGAACAAACAACCTCCGAAAAATTTGCGGGATTGTTCTTCCAAATTTGATCATGGATCTCCTAGAGCTGTAAGTTGACATCTTAACTATTTCGTCTTATTAAATATTTAAAGTGTCATTATATTTTGGTATTATGAAGTAATATTATTTTATTCAAGTTAATTATTTGTAATTTTATTTTAAAACTAGACATTGACGTGAAGATATCCGGAAGAAATCAGTAAATGTATGGTAGAACCCACGTAAGAATTATCTTTTCTAGCGCAATTATTATATCTTGTTGCGTGTTATGTGATGTTAACTCCTGTCAACAAGAATAACATTTGAATCGTTTTCTTTTTTAATGTAGGAAATACACTAAAAAATCTTGGTACATTAATTTTAATGATCTAGTGATTCACAATTTATAAAATTATGGTGGTTAATGCTTATGGATAAAGCCATAAAGTGATTATAAATTGGAATTGGGAATTTGGGGCTTTTAGGCCAAAAAATAGAGACTCCTATAACAGACACTCAAAGCCGTCAGTTCTACTTGATAAAAAGTTCAGAGAGATGCTCAATATTTACTTGTATGATCCTGTAGGATGGCCTTACCTAATGTCTTGACATCTACAGTAATATGATGGTTAAGTTCTTTGATAAACAGAAGGCGTAAGGTCCGCACATGTTTATAATTCATTTTTATGTTCAGGGTGATTATGTTTCAGCCAAAAACATAATCACCCTGAAACAAAAAGAAAAATAAAAAAGACAAGAAAAAGCGACAGAAGAGAAAACAGCACGAATAAACAGAGCAATGGAACAGAAAAAAGTGAAAAAAAAAACGGACGGCATTTCATAAGAGAACGGGCCAGAGAAATGAAAATTCTTAAAGAAAAATCCGATGTAACATCAAGGGCTAACTACTGTTGATGACAAGGAAATAAAATGTTTTTCCTGTGAATATTGGCTACGGATGGGATACAATGCTGTGTTTGTGAAGCTTGGGTGCATTGAGTGGGAACTGCGATCTGCAGATTATGGACAGAAATTGCCTATCAATATTTTTGCAAGTAATGTCATAACAGAAATTACTTTCTTCTACATTATATCTCAAAACTCAAATTTTTTGTAAGTTTGTTCGCTTTAAAAAACTTGTATTGAAAGCTTTACGGTAAAGAGTAACACTACTTAACCCTACGACTTTGTTAAATGTGGTCATTATTAAGTATCATCAAAAAGCCACAATCTTCTATAATGGCTACATGCAACTTTTTCATACATTATAAGTATTTTCATAACGAATTCGTTAATTAAATTGACAATTTGTAGAAAAAGAGGGTTTCAAATTCTGTACTAAACTATGTAAGCAATTTATTTGTACAATCCTTGATGTAGCATTAAAAAAAATAAATAAATGAAAGTGACCATAATCGGAGATTCTACCTTATATTAAATTACTACGAAATATTTTATGTAATGGTTTAAGAATGACTTGTTCTTTTTACACTGTTTAATTTTATTTACTTAAAAATCACTCGATTTATTTTCCTATTTATTTTTTTTTTTTAATTTCAAATTCCTAAATCTTTACTTAATAAGTTTAATGGTAAGTTTAAATTTCTGTCTTCTCTCTATTAGAAAAGAAAGAAAAGAATGTTTGAAAAGAATAATTGTATGTTCTGGTTACAAGATTCAAACAAGGATCTAGAAATTTTTAAAATAGTTTCATTCGTTACAAGAACATATTAGGAAAATGCAATTCTATATAATTGATAAATCCCGGTGAATAGAAAAGAAATGTTCTGGCTGCAATTTGAAAAAATTGTAGACCTATAAATTCGCACTGTTGTCCTTCCTTAATCTCGGAGTTAGATAGATGAAATTCGAGACTAGATATGGAAAGCTTAGAAGCAAGAGGCCTCGATTAAGAATATACAAACGTCCGATGCAAACCAGAAGTTACGTGATTTCAATTCAAAAATTTTCTCCTGAAAGGTATTAGATAATGTTAGACGAGCGGCATGACTTCATTGTTAACAGAAAAAGAATGATGTACAGGGGGCGAGATGCTCCTAAACTTTTAAGTGCATTATGACGATTTAACAATAAATAATTGTTCATTCTTTTTAATGTTAATTGGAGAAATAAAAGTTCCCTTTCAAATAATTATACGTTTCTGATAAATGGGAACCGCATGCTCATAGTTTTTGCAATAGAATGCTCTTTTATTGTAACTGTAAAGAATTTGATGTGTTCAACTTTTTCTGAGAGAAAAGTAGGAAATGTTAATGTACTTTTGCAAATTTTTTACATTCGAAAAATGCTTTCGAATAGTACAATCAAAATACTAGTTTTACTCATTTCTATTTTTGTTTCGATTGCAACTTTTCTCGTCTAAAAAACTATATTTAGTTGGAATGTTCACTATTTATACTTATCCATTGGCATTATTCGTTTTACTTCTTACTAATCTGTGGGATTATCCGACAAATTCAACAGTCGCTTTGGACGGATGAAAGAAACAAAAATTTGTTTTCATGATAAAAGTCCTCGCGTTAATCTCCGTTAAATTAAGCCGATTACTCCCTAAAATGAATCGTTCTTTATAAACACGTGGATAAATAAGATTTCGGTAACGCATATTGTTAGTTTTCATTCAGCTGGGAAATTACATTTTGAAATGATTTAATTAATATTAAGATATTCTAAAAAATGGAGATATTTTTATAAATATTTGTTTAAATTTAACTATTGATCTCATCCAATAGCTAAATTTCCCATAAAGTAGATTTTATGGGAAATTTTATTTTATCTTAGATTCAAGTTCTGTATTCGCAATCTGCAAAGAATATGCGTTTAAAGTTTAAATACTCATTAAAAACAATAACTGATATTTTTAAAAAATTATAAAAATAATGACGAGTGTTTAAGAAAAGCACTTGAAGCTATCTGCTCCCATTTTTACTGGATGATAAAGTCTCATACATATATCGAGGAGTTTTATTTCAAACAAGAACTACTTCCATACATACATATCCTCACGCTCATAATCCAAAAAGGGTGATCCACAGGCAAAAGAAGATTACAATTTTAAAAACTATTCATTCGGCAACTTTCCTGTCCAAGAAGAACTATTTCCAAAAACATGAGTTTGCTATTAGCAGAAAATTCGCCCTGTTAACAAAAAATTTGATATTTATTAAAAAATAAAAAATCTAGAAGCTGTAATGCTCACGTAATGAATAAAGGTAAACGTATACGTGATATACTTACTTATAGATTTCACTTTAGCAACCATATAATCCCACAGTTTATCTAATAAGAAGCGGTTGTGATGTCGAGAATCTATTCGATTCTAAAGAGATTATTTAAGAGAAAATACTACTTATAGTTAAAATTAGCATAGATGAATTTGTAAGTAGCATAGATGATAAAAGCAGAGAAATCAAACTTGCTTTGCTGAACTATAAAACTGCTATTGCATCGCTGCAGTACGTCTCACTCTGAGTGATCTACCACAAATACATTTGTTTATTTTGGCTGCTTTGCTCACTGCTTTAGTATACGCGTGTGTTTAGTTTATTAGAGCCATCTAATCAATTTCCTTTTCATCATTTGCTACCTTTGGGAAAATGCCTCAATAACTAGGAAGGTCCACAAACCAGCTTTCGCTAAATTTTCGGAAATTTTAGAATTTATAAGCACGGTGTAAAAGGAAGCTGCATAAACACAGGAATTCTATTAAACCTGCCCAATTTATAGCAGCTTTCTGGATTATCTTGCATTTATGCTTGTAGCTTTAATGTTTTTGCTGTTTTTAATGTTATAATTTTATTCCTACTGTTATTCATTTAGTTTTAATGCTAGTATTTTATATGACTTATTTTAAATGTTCGAACATATGCATATGCCTTATTCGAGTGGTGAAAGAGCGTTCCTGTCTCTCATCACTTGGCTCCCGATTTTGGGCCTGGCCGAATTCATAATGAACTGTACATGCTTTAAAAAAAGGCCTGTCCACGATGCAAAAAATTTTTTAAAAGTCCTCCGATTATTGAACTGGTAGCACTTCAATAGGGATCAGTTTTCCAAAAAAAGACTTCCCAGAAGGCATTCTCCTCGTCAGATCGCCATTGTATCGCCTTGCCGTACACGAATAAACCTAAACCAAACCACAGATTAATTTTTTTATATAAAAGTCGTCAAAATTTCATCCTCCAATTATAATTATAATCCTTTTGCTTGTAAAAATAACATAAATAATTATCATTAATAATTTTTACGGCTTATAACATCAATAATCCGTAAAATTTTTATTTTCTCTATTATAGTTGGCAACAATGCTTTAAACGAAACAGCGCCATTAATTACTGTGGCAACTTCTATAATTAATAGAAGGTGAAGTAGGGAAATCACTTTTTGGGGTAAAAATGCTTTCTAGAGCCGTAATTGCCTCCAGTAAGTGAAAATAAACAGCCAATTTTACTCTATTAACATTTAAACATTATATAATACTAATAAGATAAATTATTAAAACAATAAAGTAACTTAAACTCTTACTCAGATTGTAGGACTAGGACTAATATTTTGCAAATTATTAGATTTTGTATAGGATTTTTAAATGTTAAAGATGATTTATATATTTACAAATGTTATAAAATAGTCAAATGATTTAATATCTTATTTTCAAGCAAGTGCTGTTAAAATATAATTGATTGGCTTCATTTCAATTTCTCAAAGTAAATATTTGAAAATTAATTTTAAAGGTTAAGATGTGAACTCTGAATGATGGATTTGCCACACCCCAGAGTTATAGTCTCTCAATACGAGCGAAAAGGTTAATGGAACCATACCTGTATGTGTGACCTTTGCCTCCTAAGGTCGGTTTTTACTGTGAATCAGTACACTGCCTATCCGTGTTGGTTGACACTCTGCAGGTAGTTGTACGCTTCGATACTTGCTGTCACTCGCACCTTGGCACTTGTGTTGGGCAAGCTCCCATGCCCCCTAAAACTATAACATTAAGTATTCCACAGTCTAGTTGACTACTCAAAAAACTGGTAGAATGTGCTACTCAAAACAGGCATAGTCACATGGGCTAAGTAATAAATGCAAATAGCTAGTTAAATGCAATGGTCTTGGCGGAGTGATGCAACTCCAGTCGCATGCAACCTGAAAGTATGTTATAACTTGCCAATGGTTGCATGTAGAGGTATGGTTCTTTTGACTTTTTTGCTCCTTTGGTTATGGTCTACAGTTCTAGTAAGGTCCCAACTGTTTCATTCAGAAGTGTAATTGTACCATTTAATTTGGGTGCATTAATGAACTAGTGTAGTGAATTTTTTAATTTCTTTACATTCACGTATGCCATTGGGCTATATAATGGCTATATTAATAATGAATTACCATGTATCGGATGTTCGTAGAGTTGTTTCTTTACATTCACATTCTGTATTCAGTTCAAAAGTATGAATATGTTTTATTTTTCTTTTATTTAGTTTGGTAGATGGATGTGCAAATATGAATATATTTCCTACTTTTTAAATTTAGCCTTGTAGACAGATGTGCAAATGTACAAAACAAAGAATGTAAATTATAATATGTATTATTTAGTTTGAAAATTAATTGCTATGAAATTCTGTAAAATAATTTATGTTTACATGCAACAGAAATGAATGTTGTAGTTTTTATAAATATCATTTCTTTTATAAAATTCTTTTGTAATTTTTGNAGAGAATGATGAAAAAGCCCAGGGTGCTGATTATAAAATATTTTACTGATTTATTTGTGTGTATATTTGATTGTACATGCATATTTCGAATATGTTTAACGTAGCAGAAGATATTTATATAGGAGGATAAGAAATATGCTTTTTAATGTAGATGAATATCATTGGTTAGGGCATATTTACTTTTAAGAATTAAAAGGAAGATATATCAGAAAATGGTAGCGGCTATAGGTCTAATTTTCTTACAGAGGACGGATGAGTCAGGATTATAGTTTAGCGGGAAGGTTTTATCTATGGAATATCGAATTTCCTGAAGGGAAAATGATAATTTGTTAGTGGCAAAGAGACTAGAATTGTGTAGATTGGATATTAATAATTTGTATGAGTTTACATGTAGAGTGTATCCATATATCACTGTTGTATTTGCAAAATTGATTGCCTTTTGAGAAATTAAGGGTAAAATTTTAAAATGGTTTGGGGTAATTGCAAAAAATCCTGAATAATTTTACTAAAATAATTATTACATTATGATTTATAGTTTATGTAATATTGTTTTTGAATTGTTATTATGTAGGCCTATACATATCAAAGTCATTAACAATAATATCAATAAGTCAATATATATATTATTAAAATAATCTAGGGTTGCCACTATTCCACTTTTTCCAGTATTTTCTTGTAATATTCTTTAGTTTACTGAGTTGGAAGAATACAATTTTTTATTATTTATATTAATTTTCTTAAATTAAAAAATTACAGTATTGTATAAGTAAAAATCTAGCAAATAACATCTATTTTCTTTGGAAATTGGAAATTTGATATCTATTAAAAGTGACTGATATACTGTATTTAATTCTAAGCTGTAGAAGAATGATCATATTACCGTTCGAGATAAAGAAAAATATAATTGCCTGCATAATGAGGAACAGAAATAGCTAATTAGAATTTTTAAGGCAAGTATAGAATCATAGAAAGACAAGTTTATTCATAACATTTATATGCTTTAATAGGGTTTTAATGAATAAACAAAATGGCGCAACCTCGTTTATTATCTCTCTCTAAAAATGAAAATAAATGAAAAATTGCATTTATAAATTGTTATGAACGTGAGTGTATAAAGAGAGGCAAAGGGAAACTTGCCNCGTTAGGAGTGCACAACTTAAGTGTTGATCGAGCGCAGTATCAAACCTATAGTTTATAATACATATTTTTTGTACAAATGTATTTGAGTGTACAAATTTTGTACACTCAAATATAGGGGCGCAACTAGGCTCTGTCATCCTGAAGAAACCAAGATTCCTGTGCCTCCTCTCTTATTCCATAGTTTTGGGGCGTTGACATATGATTAGTCAGTTAGTAGCTTTTCCCTTTGTATTCCCTTTCCTCTAGCACCCCCTTACCTGGTGCCAAAAGATCCACAGAGGGGGGGCAAAAAGGGTACTTGCTTCTCCTAGGATCGAGTAAAATATTCCACAAATTATAATCGTAAAAGTGATCGAGGTATATAACCTTACACCCTTGAGTCCCCTGGAAAATTTTCTGTGGACGCCTGGAACCAATAAATTATCCCTTATAATTTCCTAAATAATTACACATCCTCTTCTCTCGACGTCACCCTACCTGGTGCTCCGGGCACATGCCCGTCTGCCATAGTTGCATCCCTAACATTATATGAATTTAAATTAATGTTAATTAATTTATTAATATTTAAATAGTTCTATTAACATAAAAATAATTTTACCAAAATGAGATAGAGGGCCTCATTAAAACATTTAGCAAGCTGAATATTGCGCATCCCAGCTCTAAGTTTACTAATTACATATTACGAATCATTGAATAAACTGATATTTTTAAATAAAATCAACTATATTTTAATACGTAAATAAGCTTATTTTACATTTAATTACACTCAAACATTATAAATAATCAATTTAATGATGTAAATGGCGAAGCATCTTTGGACGTAAAGCATATAAGTTCATTTAACTCTATAAAATTAAATTATAATCAGGCCTAGTCCATTAAATCTATTGAAACGAATCTACCGTTATCAGGTTGTACTGTATTTATAGTAACGACTTTTAGTAACATGAAGTGGAAGAATTTGAAGCGTTTTTTTAAATATTTGATTAAATTATTAAANTTCGTAGAGTTGTTTCTTTACATTCACATTCTGTATTCAGTTCAAAAGTATGAATATGTTTTATTTTTCTTTTATTTAGTTTGGTAGATGGATGTGCAAATATGAATATATTTCCTACTTTTTAAATTTAGCCTTGTAGACAGATGTGCAAATGTACAAAACAAAGAATGTAAATTATAATATGTATTATTTAGTTTGAAAATTAATTGCTATGAAATTTTGTAAAATAATTTATGTTTACATGCAACAGAAATGAATGTTGTAGTTTTTATAAATATCATTTCTTTTATAAAATTCTTTTGTAATTTTTGCAGTGGTTCCTTTTTAAACTTTTGTCAACATATGAGAAAGATGTAGTGGTATATTGATTAAATTTTAAAGTTTGAAGCTGTGAATAAATTGCTCTTTTTGGGTTGTGAAACCTTCCTATCAAATCTTAGCTACGAATATATTAGATATAATTTCTAAATAACTTATTTTATTTCAGCAAGCAATTATTTATTGTGACGTCGTCACAATGCTGGACTGCAATTTTAATCATATTTTAATTTATTTCATTTAAAATATATGCTCTTCATCTTAAATTAGTAGTGTCTTGCCTCTGTATATCATGCATTTTCTTTAACAATATTGTCATGCCAGTCATCTATCTAACTCCTTTCGGGTGGAAAATTTTTGAATTGAAATCATTTGATTTATGGTTTGCATCGGGAGTTCAATTTAGTTAATTGGGGCCTCCTGCCCCTAAGTTTTCCATATCTGGTCACATCTTTCATCTATCTAACTCAGATATTGAGATTAAGGAAAGACGGACAGACGACAGTGAGAATTTATAGAACTACAGTTTTTTTCAAATTGCAGCCCAATTATGCAAAATGTGTTTGATACAAATGCTTTTTTTAGAGAGGAAATTTGCCCACTATAATAATGAAAGATGTAAAATATTATATCATCTTTTTTTATATATACTCTTTAAATTAAAAGTTTAAAACATTTTTTTAAAGAGCTACTGAAAACACAAAAATAAATTTACTTTCATATAACAGTATACCATTATACTATGAAAGGTCTGACAGCTGACCTTATTTTAAATGTTGGAATTTTTATTGACTTAAAGGTTTTCAGAATGAAAGTGTCCAGACTATAAAATTAAAAATTAGTTAAAATTTTAAAAAATTTGTTCATTAATAATAATTTTGTCTTATAAATTTACATGTAATAACTGAAAAATTTTATGAAACAATACAGTATTTATATATAATAGTTACATTAGTTTTTCTTAGAATCTTATTTCTATATTGTATAAAAGAAAATTAGATTGTTGTAAATTTTCTAAATGCAATATTTATTTGATTATTTCTAAACTTCTGTGGACTTACTATGTTCAGTTTCATTATACAAGACATGTTTATGTATATAAAAATATTTGTTTTACTTTTTATTACTCTGAACCAAAGGTTCTCAGAAAATGATTTTTTGTGGTTGGACTTATGTTTCTCTGCATTTGATATGATGCAATTATAAGATTATATTAAAAGTATGAATGAAATGATTGTTACCTGTGGTGCTACATTCTAAAGTAGAATCATTGGTTTTCTGTATGTGTTTGATATTATAAAAATATTATTTTACTCTGAAAATAAATATTTTTATTTATTTATTGTNATTAAATGTGCTATAATATATGAAAGGTAGAAAGAGTATATTAAGAATACATTATAAAAATAATAATGGACTAAAATCGATATATTTAAATTCTATTCGAAGACAGTTTTTGAAAAAAAAATGCTGATTTCTCAGTAAAAATATAAGTGACAAGTTATTATTTATTTTGACATCGTCAATGCTCAGCTGCAATTTTTCATCACAATGCTCTCAATTTTAGTAATAGCGAGGTTGAGACCGAAGTTTTAAACGCGAAAAAGTGTACGTCGGACGTTCTGCGCCGCTTTTCTGTAAGCCTAGAAGTTTGACAATGGTGTTTGGATAGTCAGTGGAATCATGCTCGACATTCCAAACACCATTGTCAAACTTCTAGGCTTACAGAAAAGCGGCGCAGAACGTCCGACGTACGCGTTCTCGCGTTTAAAACGTCTCTTGTATTTTTAGTCCCTACTGTCGGTGTGTCTGTCCTTCCTTCCTTAATCTCGAGAACAGAGTTAGATACGGAGCGACGAGAACGAGCCCAGATATGGAAAGTTTAGCGGTAGGAGAGCCCGATTAACTATATAAGAACTTCCGGTTTGGACAGAAAGTCACGTTATTTCAATTCAAAACTTTTTCCTGAATGGAATTACAGATGACCGGCACGACTCTATTGTTAACAGGAGAAGTATGATGTACAGGGGCAAGACACTAAAATTGAGTGCACTGTGATGAAAAATTGCAACCTGGAATTGCGACAATGTCACAATAAATAATAAAATTACTCGTTTTATTTTATTTAAATCTTGTTAATAGTATGTACAGTAGAGCATCGATTATCCGACACCCCGATTAACCGACACCTCGGTTAACCGACCGTCCTAGTCAGCAAATTTCAAATTTCCTCTAGTGATGTGGCGTTACAATATTTGGCTATGTCTTGGCTGTTTTAATATTATTTTTACGTGTTTTAGCTGGCAACACTCATTCGACCATGAAAGGGAGCCAGTATTTAAACGAGGCTTAATTTTTTAATTTTTAACGATACAATAGCGACGATTATTATTTTAAAAAATTTTTGTTAGGCTTAACATCGATGAAAATTCAACGCGAAGTNAATTTTCTAAATGCAATATTTATTTGATTATTTCTAAACTTCTGTGGACTTACTATGTTCAGTTTCATTATACAAGACATGTTTATGTATATAAAAATATTTGTTTTACTTTTTATTACTCTGAACCAAAGGTTCTCAGAAAATGATTTTTTGTGGTTGGACTTATGTTTCTCTGCATTTGATATGATGCAATTATAAGATTATATTAAAAGTATGAATGAAATGATTGTTACCTGTGGTGCTACATTCTAAAGTAGAATCATTGGTTTTCTGTATGTGTTTGATATTATAAAAATATTATTTTACTCTGAAAATAAATATTTTTATTTATTTATTGTATTAAATTTAATATAAATTTGTAATTTTAGGGCATCTTCCCTTCATTATAAAGTTTCCTAATAATTATGTTAGGTGAGTAAACAAAATTTATTTATGTAAGTTGATAAACTCATGTATTATAAATTACATTCAAGTTTAATAGTTGACTTGATATTGTTGTTTAGAATTTAATGTATAAAATTTGTTATATTTATATATACAGAATTTTATAAATTTAAATGTTTTTAATGAATTTTATCTGATTCAAAAGTTTAGTTAAAAATTTGTTTTATCATCATTAATTTTAAAACATTTAAATTATTATTCATTTTATATATTTCAGCCAAGTTTTGAAAGAGTAAAAGAAGTCACACTCTAGTTACATTAGTCTTGTAAATATTTTACATATTTGTAAGAATTTTTTATGAAATTCTTGTTAGTATGATTACTATATAAATCTTCTGGAAAATATTTTTGTTAAAGATTTTTTATAAAGTTAAAGGTTTATTCATAAATTAAAAATAAAATATTAACATTAAAATTAATTCATCAAACATGAAACAGTCTGCTAATTGAAATGTTTAGCACTTATTTGTTTTAAGCATTTTTAAAACTTTATTTTATCCTGGAAAGTATTTAACACAAACTGATGAAACTAATTCTTGTTTTTGACAGTTTTATGTTAAATCCTTCTGGAGGTGGAAAAAAGTTCTAAACATAATTAAGCTTAACTGTTGAACATCTGTCTGGGAGGCTGTTTTTTATGTTTAAAACAAAATAATTAATTTACTATTATTACATAAATAAGAAGAAATTTCTAATTTGATAAAATTCCATATGTTTATTCATAAATTGTATTGCTAATAGAACTATTCATATGAGTAAAATTAATCTGATAGCTTACTTTATATCTTAATAATAATTACAATCTTTGTTAAATATATATAACTTAAATTCTATATTTAAAGCTTTAAATCTGTGATTGATTAAAGAAAAATTATTTTGAATTTAAGAAATACAAGCATAATTCATGGACACACTTCAGTTTACTAGAAATAATTTAACTTTGGTTTAATACCATCATTTATTTACCTCTGTAATTGGTACTAAACTTGAAGAATATCAAGCAATGTAATTAAACATAGTAATGTGTAAATTGAGTTTGAAAATCATATAGTCCAGATGCAAAGATGATTTATATATTTGGTGATATAGACGTATTCTCTATTTAATATTTGTGGATAGCTGCTCACAAATATTCACTAGCACTTTACAAGGAGAATACTATAGGTTCAAACAAGATCTGCAGCATAACATTTTTAATAACACATTACATGATTATATTGGATAAGCAATACTCTCTTGTATTGAGGTTTTACTATTTCTGAATATGTAACTAAAAAACTTCAAATTTATTATTTTATCTAATTCAGCTTATAAAAAATAATGAATTTTATTTTAACAGAAAAAATTGTATTTCTTGAGATTATACATACATTTATAGTCTCAAGAAATATAATTTTTTCTGTTAAAGTAAATTTGTCCCAACAATTTTTTAAAATTTTATTTTATTTTAAATCTACTTATGTTGTTATATTTAAGTTTTATTTCATTATTTATAATTAGTGTTAACCTTTAAAATTATTTTTGATGTTTTTTAAATATTTATCTTATCTTGGATTATCATCAATGTTGAATTTGGTGTTTTATTATTATTATTTTAAAACAAATTGCTACTTAAATTATTTTATAAATGATATGTACTGTATATTCTCTAAATTTCAAATATTGTGGAATTCTGTATTACAGCATAGAATTTAATTTAATTGAAACTGATTGAAGGTAAGATTATTGAATGTTGGATAATAGGAAAAACAAGACAAATCATAAATTTATCGGAAATACAGTATAAATAAAAATCAGATTTATTAATAATAATTCAATTGCAACAATTACTTTTTTTACTGTTTTCACTTGCTGTTTCTTCAAACAGTAAAGTTATATTAAAGAAAATGTAATTACAGAAATGAAATACAGTAACACTATATACAGAATATACATAAGTCACTAGCATATATGAATAAAATGAAGTTCTACTGATGATTTTATATGTACAGTACAGACAGACATTTAACAGCAGAGCAAGTGGGAAAAATTATATAGATCTGCAGCATAACATTTTTAATAACACATTACATGATTATATTGGATAAGCAATACTCTCTTGTATTTTAAAATTTTGAAAATTGTATTTTGAGAATAATTTTATGATTTTGAATTTATACATGTTTGTATTCTTGTAACATGCCTATATTCTTATAATTTTAAATAGTGTTATTAGAGTTGCAAGTACCCAAGTTGCTCAAAATCAACAGAAATCATCTACAATTGTGGAAGGTCCTGAAAGAGACTTAGTTAATTTTCCACGACCTACTAGAAGAATATATGGAGGTCCTGTTAGATTTGGATTTATTCCAGAGGAGTGGTTTGAAGTAAGTGATTTTTTTTAAATGTATAATTGAGCTAAATGATATAATTAAGATAGTGTGATTAATTATAGTAATTTATTTTTTTTATCTAGTTTTTCTACAAGAAGACAGGTGTAACAGGACCTTATGCATTTGGTATTGGCTTAATAACTTATTTGATGTCAAAAGAAATTGTTGTAGCAGAACATGAATTTTTCTGTGGTGTATCTCTTGCCATTATATTTACTACTTTCATTAAAAAGTTTGGACCAAAAATAGCAGAAACATTAGATAAACATATAGATGTAAGTATATTTTTTTATTAACAATTTATCATAAAGTCTAATTTATTTAAAGAAAATGTGTTTCTTTATATAATTTTTTTAGTATGGTTGAGCCATTATGTTAATAAATATTCATAAAATGAATTTATAGACATGTTCTAAATATTTTTTCTGATATTTTTCATAAAAGAAACATCTAATTTTTCCTTTGTTGGATATTTGGTAAACTTTTAATAAAAAAGGTCATCTTAAAAATTAATATTTGCAAGAAATATGAATAAAATCAGAAACTGCTAGGTCATTACAATAAATATGTATTCAAAGTAAAGAATTACAAGAATATCAGATATTAAAATTATTCTTATACATTTTTTAATCGAGACAGCATATCTGTATTGTAATTTTATTATTATTATTATTTTTTTTTTAAATATTTTAACTTGAGTTTTCATTCTTAATATTAATGTATGGTTATTAAAAGATGATGTTATGGAAACTGATTTCTACAAATATTGATGAATAGAATGATAGGTTTTCAAACTAAAAAAATTTTATAAATTTATGTTGTTTTTTGAAACAAACTGTTTTCTTATATAAGAGTTTGCTATATAATATGATGCCAGTAATTACAAATACAAGATTATAAAATTTTAGATTATTAAATAGGAAATTAAATTTTTATCAGTTTTTAATTGTAACAAGCTGTTGTATTATAGTTTATTTGTATCATTTCTGGCATTACTTATTGAAAGAATTCCAAATTTTAATAACAACAGATCTGTACAGATTATGTTAACTACTACTTGGTAGGTTTAAGTTTTTATCAATACAAATGACATTGAAAATTGCAGATGTAGAAAAATTATTTTAAACATATCTGCTACATCAGTCTTGAATTTAATAGTGATAATGCTCAAAAATGAAATTCCAAAACATTTTAGAATTATCTAAAAAATAGAATGTGTAAATAATTTAACCAGAAATATTCTTGTTGTAATTTTAGGTTTACAGTATTTTTAAGATATTTGGATGTTGGGGAATGTGTTATGCAATGATAAAAGTGAGTTATGTTTAGAGAGTACAATGTTATGGTTTCAATTTTTGTAATTAATCATACCAATATACAGGTTACATTACAAAAATTTAAATTTTATCAATAATCAGCTATTATATATTTTGATCAAGATTGAGAAGTTGTCTAAACTTCACAAAAAATTTTTGTTGTAATGTTTATTATCAATTTGTTCAAGACTGGATATTATTCAATACTAAAAGACTTACTATGACACCTTATGAATGTGCAGCTTAAGTTTATTAATTCCAAACGTTTTTGTTCATGTTAAATGACCTTTCTCAAGAAAAAGTAAAAACAAAATAAAAAACAAGAGGCTAAAAAAGACTGTAAAAATCGAATGCTTAGTACAAATGCAAAAAATGAACAGGCTTTTCGAACATTTTTGAATTATATTCCATTGCAACTTATGTACGTCATCTTTAACCTTGCAACCAGAAGTATAAACAACATAAAATTACAGAAAATTAAATTACAATCTAAAAAATAATAAGTACAGAGAGTTATCACCCCTGATCACCGTTTTCACATAAATTCATTGTTTTTGGTATAAGGATGCATAGTATCTTTTTCCTTCTATTATTAAAGTTTATATTAAGCTAGAGGACCATGCTGCCGATACTTTTGTAGATTCTCACAAATTGATTGCGAGGCCTTTATGGTTCGCTATACCAAGCTTCTGCATAGTACCCGGTGCTTATGGTCTCTAACCACTTGCAGTAGACTTGCTTGGTGCCATTTGGCTTTGACGTCTTGTGGGTCTGCTGAAACATAGGTGGCCAGCGCAGTGCACGGTTGTTCCTTTCTTATATTTCCTTGGTGTTCTGCTAACCTGGCTTTGATAGATCTTCCTTTGGCTCCTATATACGAGGGCTATTTTTTAAATAAGGTTTGTTTGTGAATGAGAGTGAGAATGACGTGCGATTGCAGCAGTGTGCATGAGCATCTGCTTTCAGCATGCTTTGCACGTGTTTAGATGCCATTTGCAGCCGTATCGTCTGTCTGTGTGCTGAACTGTAGAAGTTTATAATGTTTAAGAAAATTGAGTTGCCCACCGACTGTAAGATACAATCTGTTATTCGATTTCAGCACAAAAGATCATGGCAACTGTCTTTTGGGACAGGAAAGGGACTTTGTTAGTGGATTTTATGCCAAGAAGCATAACAATCAATTCTGATGCTTATTGTGACCTTCAGAAAACTCCGCCGTGCCATACAAGACAAGTGGCATGGCCTAATGTCTTTTGGCGGCAGGCAGCAGATTTCTTTGAAGTCAGAATTTAAAAAATTTTTGAGCGGTATATGACAAATGTTTGAACAAAAATGGAAATTATGTAGAAAAGTAGATAAAAGTATGTAGAATATGGGAAAAAATATATTTTAATGATATTTACAGTATTTTTCTTCTTATTAAAAACAGACCGTATTTAAAAAATAGCCCTTGTACATTAATTTATTATGTTGCTGTGAATTTGTAATGGGGATTTTATAGACACAGGGGAGTATGTTTCTGTCTGCTTCATCCTTATCGGATCTTAATAGTTGGTATGTGGTGGGGGTTCTTTTATATACGATTCTTTTGTTCTTGGCTTTTCTGATGCATTGAAAGATATTGCTCAGCGATGTGTTATAATCCATCTTTATAAACCCTTTATTATTGGGTAAATTTTTCTTCTTATGGTGTGTCTTGCTCTTGCTGTTTATTACCTTGTTAAAAATTCTTAGCTATATTAAAAAATATACAGGTAGCCCTCAGTTTATGCCGTCTCAATTTACACTGATTCACAATAACACCAATACGCACTTCACCATTTCATGGTGTAATTCCCCAATTTTCCCTATGCCAGACTGATTTTCATTTTAATGTTGATGTATTTACCGAGCCGCGACATTGCACAGTACATTCGTTAAAACAAAGATTTTTATTGAATATATTTAGTTTTTCTTTTTAATATTATTGGGTATGTATACATTTGCATTAAATTAATATTAAAACACTAAACGTTTAGGTACCCACGAGTCAAGTTATCAAACTTAATAGTGCAATAAATGGCGTCTGAATCCATAGTGGCAATGAATGTATCCCATATCAGTTCATTCAGGAAAACACGTTACGACGCAGTAGCACTTCCGGCGATCACAAACTACCGTTAGTGAGACAAATCTACTTCTCGTTGGCCAGACGATATCTATCTCTCCTTAGTCACCTTGAATTTTCCCGCTCAAACTGACCTTATACATGCGCTACGGCAACCGGTGGTCGACCAATCAGTGTCCTCTGCTCGCTTGTAGCTCTACATCGGGTTAACGTATCCTTTCAACTATGAAAAGTTTGACGGATGAACTCTGTGAGTTAGATAACAATTGGGAGCGAAGTGCAAATGTAAAAAGAAGCATCATCGCATCCATTCAACCATATTCCGAAATTCTCAATGAAAGAAAACAAAAATGTAAACAATTAAAGATGGATACTTTTTTCCGAAAAATGTAAGAGATCCGAAACTAAAGTTTTTAATAAAAACATTTCACTTTATTTTATGATAAAATACATTTTAAAAATTAAAAATTTATATGTATTTTATATTATATTGTATTAATAAACAATATTATTTGCTTATTTTTCACTTATGTAGAACCTAACCCTATATCTCACTGTAAATATGGGTTCGTTTTACGTTGATTCGATTTGCGCTGACTTTTGTAGGAACGGAACTGCGGCGTAAACCAGGGGCTATCTTTATATATATTTGCTAATTATAATTTAAAAGTTTTTGACAATTATATGAAACACTATCCAAATATTTTATATAATTAATATCTTTATTGACAATAATAATAATAAAAAGACAATAATGGTTTTATGTATAAAATTCTATATCAAATAATGAAATTTTTTGTAACATGAAGATATTTAATTGTTCAAGTTTTGTAGTTATGAACTGAAATTTGTAGGAACAAGTTTATAGTAGTTAAGTAAAAATAACAATGCATTGGTTTATGATTCAGGATTTAATAGATATGAATCTTTGACTAATTGAGTACCAAGTGTAAGAATCTTAATTCAATAGTTATTGAGTTTGGTTAAAAAAAATATATAGTTCATTTTTAAACTAATGAAGTGATGCTTTATATGTTGTTTAATAATATAAAAAATATTAAATTTTTCTGCATAAATGAAATTTAAACTATATACTTTATATTTTTCTTGTTTTTTTACTAATCATGTTAGTTTTAAAAATATATCATCACAATTAATTTTAAAAAAATGTTAATTTAATATTATTGTTTTGAATTTTATAGAATTATGAAGCTGAGTTAAATAATACAAAAAACGATGCCATAAAAACCTATGAAGATGCTATTAATGGTGAAAAATTAGAACAGTGGCGAGCTCAAGGACAGAAGTATTTGTTTGATGCTAAAAGAGTAAGTTTAATAATTTATTTTATTGAAAAATAGATAATTATTTTTATTTTTAAATATATTATATTTAAAAATATATGTTTTTTTAACACTAACTACATGTGATAGGATTTTTTTTTCCCTCAGTATAATATCAAATAATAAGATTAGACTTTGCTGAGACTTTTCATATTGTTTAAAAAAATAATGACCATTTACTTAGATATAGAATTGTAATGTAATTGGTCTATTTTATATGTAATGCCACAATAGAATATAACAAAGTTAATCTGGATTATATTTTGATTTTTACAATTTTTATTTTTTTTTAACAATACCACTTAAATTTTAAAATAATCTATTAACAACTTCATGTGTTTCTGACTCCATATTATTATTGATATTGAATGCTTATTTCAAGTACACTAAATAATCTGTTAACTAAAATTTTGAGAGAATGGTTTCTTTCATGAAGAACATAGTTCTGTTCTTAAAATAGGACATTCATACTCACCATTTTAAGTACTGTTTATGAGACATGAAATTGAAAGAAAGAAACTGATTTAATATGGAATTGTCTTTTGAGTTTTATGTATTTATTTTTATTTTATCTGTTAAAGGTTCTATGTTGATGCAGGGAGAAAATTGTTGTCACATGACATTTCCTAATTGTAAACAAAATAAATAATTTTTTAAAAAATTGAAATTCTTTAAAAAGAATTTTTTCTATTCAGAAACTTTACACTTGAACTTATCATCACAAAATTGCTTTAAAAAATCTTAAAATATTTTTTCTATCCATATACTAAATAATGGATTTAGTCCATGATACTTTTTTTAAAGCAAATAAGTATATAAAAAGCAAATAAAATGAAGTATGCAAATTTAAAGCTTAGAATAGTTATTTTTTTATGAACTTATCATAAAGGAAATGTTTGAGACAACAAGAATGAATTTCAAGTTTATTGATATTATTTACAAGAAAATGCATTTTGGGTGTCATACTCCTCATCAGTTCTTATCTCTTTAGTACTTGATATCATAAATATAACAAGTACCATATTACAGATTGTTTTAAAATTTATCTTGCACAATTATAAATAACATTTACCTGTATTTTTCAAAGATGTATGATAAGTCTGTAACAAAGCAAAGTTTCAACTCTAAGCTTTGAATTTGAAACTGAAATTGAAACAGAACAAGAAGCTAGAATAACAACAGTGAAATATGCAATGTTTTTATAATTATTTTCAGTAAAAGATAATGAAAAAATTGAAATTCGACATAAGATGTAACTTTTTTAATGACACAAAATTTGCTGTTAAGGTTCAGTTAATTCACTCAAATGGAAAATAATAAATATATGTATATTTATTCTAAAACTTTAGGATATACTTTCATATCCAAATTTATTACCAAGAGACAATAATAACTATAGTATTTTCCAGAATAAAAATGGAGCTAATATGCTGGCTCTCAAATGTAAAAATATGGGATTATAACTATAATTGTAGAAAAACAACTATTTCAGATTGTTGCTAATTTTGAAAATTTTATAACTGTTTTATAATAAAATTTATAAATTATTATTTTTATTATTGATGTTTCATTTGACAAATAATAAAACACAATTTTAATTATTTGACAACACTGTAACGAATAAAGGATTTTCTTATATCATTAGTGATTAAATACATCTTCCAATCCTGTTCAGTTCCATTCAAAATTGACAGTCTGATGTGTCCATGTTAATGAGTAATGGTCTACAGAGGTCAATTTCTAAAATTATTTTTTCTTCTTTTCAACCTACTTAACAAATGAATACCATGTAGATGGTAGAATTTGTATCCCCTTTAAATCAAATTCTGATTTTAACCATTTCGAAAGTTTTACAGTGATGATCAAAGTAACCTTTAACCTGATTCCAGAATAATTCAGTCAGGTTCTGTATGATATAGTATCATCATCATAGTATCATCTTCTTCTTTAGCTATGTCATCAATACAATAACTCAAATACTTTAGTTTCTCTGTTTTCACTAACTAACAGTTCTTGTTTCAATTGTTCTAGCTTCCATGATATTCCTTTTTCAGTTAACCGGTCACAAATTTTTGGAAAGATTTTTAGAACAAACACTATATCATCTCACATTATCCATAACAATAGCATATCCACATAGGATGAGTTTAATAAATGCTTGAAACCATTCTTATAAACAGGAACTGTTCATTTCCTCTTGATAATCACAATTGTTATTTGATGCAAAAACTAGAACTCCATTCACAAATTCATTTTCATTGCCAACATGGACATAGATTAAGAATTTTCATAATCATCAAGAAATTGGTTGCTTCCATATTAGCCACACCACTTGCTGTTGTTATATAATACTATTAATATTGGAAGTTAGTTATATCTAATTGGATTAGAAATAACAAGTGGTTAGCAATTTGTGAAAGTGTAAACATTACAGTACAAAATAAGGATTATATAATGACAAAACTCATATATAATAAGCATGGCTCTATTTTTCAGTTGGCTTTCTATATATCAGTTTTTAATGTGCAAATTTTATACATAATATGTATTCATTTGATGCACAGATGGAGTTCTGTTCTGGGATTTATCATAAATCAAATTAGTCATAATTTGAATGTACAAAATTATGGTGTGACAATAAGCCTATATAACTATAGAGATGTACTGTATATTATGATCAGAAGAATGATTACCATGTTTTTGCAGAAATAGAGCATGCTTTTAAATCCTTGCATGCATGTTTTTATATGTGGCAGCTTGTTTTGGCTTATAAGAGCACTTATTGCTGTGTCAATGTAAATTAAATGTAAATGTACTGGTTCAGTAATTATTTAGTCATATCTCTGTGGCAGCCATTATTAAAAATAAAATGCAAAAATAAAGAAATGCTTTCAATACTATAAAAGTTTTTAAAAATTTTTATAGGGAGTACTTTGCAGATTATAGTGCTTATTTTGTCCCATCTATAAGAGCTCTTTTATGCATGGAAATATAGTATTTTTATGCTTATTAGTCATATTAATTGATTTTTTTACAAAAAATAGCATTTTAATTAATTAATTATGATATTTTATTAACACAAAGATTTGTGGAAACACAGGAAGTAACCCTGTTCAAAGACACCAAAAATATAGACAGACAACCAAAGTTCTCTGTCTATATTTAATATGGAATAGTAAGCTGACAACTTTATTATCTTGTTTATCCAGTTGGCTTGTAGTAGTTGTTGCTACATTTTTCTTGAATGTAGAAAAAATATAATACAGTTGTCCCTTGATAATCCGACAGGTATGGGACCAAAGGTGTGTCAGATTACCAAAAGTGTCCGGATTACCGAAAATAATTACATATTTCGCATTGTTTTGCTAGCAGTAACTTACAATATTCTCTACTCCAACTGTTCGAACAGAACTGCTCACATAAAACACACGAAATGTGTGTCANTGTTTCATACAAAAGGCCCGCATTTGTGTAGTGTGTGTGTGTCTCCCGTCGCTGTCCCTTTACTGAGAAGAATTGATTATACCGAAAGGTCAAATGTCCATATCATATGCTTCCGTATACAAACGGCACAATGACAATTGTCGCAAATAAGATATTTAAGTGGCGATTACCAGTTTGCACCTAAAAATTATGTCATTTCTGAGATAAATTTTAAGTTTAGAGTGAAGTTAAAGTCATATTCGCTTATTCTATTCGCTTTTTTTCAATAGAAAATGCAATTTTCGAGTGAGTTTTGCATTCGTAAATGACTGCCATTCGTCGTTTCCGCTTGGAAACGTTACATTCTTAAATTTAAGTACTTATTCCCATTCTTCTCCAGGCTATACAATGGCGAGGAAGTAACAACATAATTCTGTTAAGAGCCGCATCTCGTCTAACCGCAAGCTGTAAAAAATAAATTGTATGAAAGTAATTAAAAACTAATAAATTAAGTAAAGTCTACTCTTTGTTTATATAACTTTTTAAAATTACTCCATCTCCACATAATTCAAGCATTTAAAACTATTTTAATGGAGAAAAATTAATACTAAAACTATTCTTACATGCAGTTCCAGTACTTTTGAGCTTTTAAGGCTTATGAAAACTTTGTTTGGAAGGATAGTGTTGTGTAATTTTACTAGAGTAAAATATTTGCTAAAATTTGAAGTATATGTCACTGTGATGTACTGTACTTTGAATGTTCAAATTGCACCAATTGAATATTTAAAAAAAAACCTGTTCCTTACTTAAATCAGTGTAGTAATCTGATGATGATGATGAGTCTCAAAAACATTTAATTTTTTTCTGTATTTACTTGACTGTTCTGTTGGAGTCATATATATCTGAACATGTTTATCTAATATCTTAAATTTCTGCTTATTTTCTGAATAAGTAAATTTTAAACTATTATTAAGCAAAAATTAAGCAGCGACTATAATAATTTAATAATATAAATTAGTCTGACTTTTAAAGTTTTCATCACTGTATTAATATTTTTTTAAAATTTTTTTATTTATATAAATGTAAAAATATTGCGTAAAATGCCACTGTTTTTTAATTTCGTGTTATTTGCAAATTAGATTTGTGAAAAATTTGCAAAACTTTATGATGATGACGTGAGGACGTAATCATTTTCCAATAAGCCTCTTTGCTAATCAATATTCCTGTCTGTTAATATGAATGTGAATTATTTATTGATAAAAGTTTCTTGTAAAATCATTGAGATAATTTTTCTGTATACTTGTTTTTAAGAGTTAGAAGAAAAAGAAAAAAAGGAAAAACCTTAAAATGTAGAATCAATCATATAATAAGTGTAGGAAAATTGTGTAATTTTCATAGTCTCATCTGAATAATTTTTTATGCACCAGTTGACATTTTATTGAGCTTGTTCTGAAAAAAAAATGAGTTTTTTAGTTAAATTTCTTCTGGACAAATATCTTTTGTAAATTATCATTTGTACTGTTATACTTTTTAAACTAATCTGTTGATTGCATTATCACTTTGTCATTTATTGTTTTGATTTATTTATTAAATGGCCCCAAGTTTTATCATATGTAATTAGAGATAAATGATTGCCATAATGTATCAGGCTATTTTTCTGCTGGTTTTAATAATTAGCAATCGTTTGGCTCTAATTAATAATGTTGGGTTTAAGATGTTTATATATATATATCAACTGTAATGGTTTATCTGAGAAAACACTCATCTTTCTTTACTGTTGCTATAAAAAACAGTTGTTTAATGCCAATTTTTTCTTTCTTTATATGAGTCTTTAAATGTTTAAAAAAATTGAAAACTAAAATGACTCTCTCTCTCTGATAATGATGATTATGCTGTCAGCATTAATTAATGAACAAGATGGAAGGCATATCTTTATTATTATATAATAGTTACTTGGTAGATGTCATTAGGGATAATACTCAAGGAAGAAAGAAAGTTATATGCTACATTTTCTTCAGTTTTTATTTCATAATTATCTTTTTTTTTTTATTGTTTAATACTGCTCAGTTTCTCAACTTCTTTATGTAAATTTTTTACAAATAACAGTGAATATGAATGTTTCTAGCCTGTAGCCAAGCACTTGTTGGTTTAACTAAGTATCAGGCTGTTTTAACTAGGTATCAGATTGCGTTTATGGTATTAACATTGAGCGAATAGTTCCAACTATTATAAAATAGTCATTTGTATTCTTTCCATTGAAGTAACTAATTTCTTTTAATTAAGAGCAACAATAATAATTATTTCCCTAATGAGAAGTTTAATAGTCATTTCTTGAATGGTCTTCACCTAATTTAAATGTCGGATGATAGTAAATACTGCTTCTCAACATGATTAATTCTTAAGAAATAGCATTTATTGTTTAAAATGAAATAAAAATTTCTAGTGTAGACATTTAAAAAAAAGTTTTAAGTATAATTTTATTTATTTAGGAGCTTTAATTTAATTTAACTATAGTATTTTATTTATTTGGTCATAGAATCATTTTATTGCCAAATTGTTGAAAAAATTATAAAAATAAAATGCTTTTAAGTATAATTAAAACATGAAGAACATTATTGGAATAAGGCGACATGTCATTAAAAATGAAGTGGCAATCTATTATTAAAAAAGAAAGGATATTGATTGTTGAGTTACATCTGTTACTAGAAGATTTATAATAGCTTATTATATAATATTGAAGATATAGAATAGATAAATTTAGAAAATTAAAGCAAAAATGAAATAAAGTTCTCTGTCATTACCAAAGTAGAAAATTATTTACTAGATAACCATAGATTTTCAAATGAATGGACAAACAACTAGAAAATAATTTAAAATTATCAAAATTAATAAATGCAAGCTGGTCACATGCACACACAGGTCCAAAACTTAAGGTTGAACATGATCGTTAGCAGCAATAGCTATAAAAAAATCACTGAGAAAGTCTGCGACAAGCCTGTCAAGACATTGTGAGTACTGCATCACAGTTAAATGTGGGCATATTCCATATTGACAGGTCTCTCTGCCTGGGTATTGGTAAACACTTCAATTCTCCACCTATTTCCAACTACTGTATCTATTACTTTTTTTTTTTTTTTTTTTACCAAAAACTTACTTTTATTGCTTTGACTTGTAAAATTCTACAAGTTGTTGTGTTAGAAGTCAAGTAATACAGTTCTTATCATATTTGTTTGCATTCATCTACTGTACAGTTCTCTCTATTTATACACAAATGTTGTCTGTCCTTAAGTTTTGGATGTGTGTTTATCACAAATATCACAATTTGTGAGAAAGTAGGATATTTACTGGAGACTGAAGTATTGCAATATATTTTCAAAAACAGATTATGATTGTGTTTAATGATAAGCAGCTAGTGTCAATTGTTTATTAAAATGTTAATATCATATAATTTAATATAATAAATTTTGGTAAGGAGCTATGTTGAGTAGTTAATAGGAAATTTTAGTTAACAATTAATTGTATTTTATGATTTCTATTGTTAATTAATTGTAAATTAAATAACATATATTAAATAGTACCTTAATCTCATCACTTAATATTCTTTCTCATATTTTCAGGAAAATGTACATTTGCAATTGGAAGCCGAGTATAGAAAGAGATTGATGAATGTTTACGAAGAAATAAAGAAACGTCTGGTACGAATGTATCTTTGATATTTTCTTAACATAAGATAATTTCATTTATATTATCTAAAATGAGTTTTATTTTCTAATTAGGATTATCAGTTGGATATGCAGAATGTTTCCAGACAATTTGAACAGAAGCACATGGTTAATTGGATAGTGAATAGTGTAATAAAAAGCATAACACCCGAACAGGTACATAAATTTTCTTACATTTATTTGGAAAAAATGCAAGCAATAGTAATAGATATAGTAATAGTAATGCTGTTGTTGAATATTACAAACCATAAATCCATGAAAGAAAATACTTGAAAACATTCTTGACTTATAAAATAGTAATTAACAAATTTTTAAATTTTTATTATTTTATTTATGTAAATATATAAATCCAGCAAAATGTTTTATTTGTTGTGGTTAAAGTATTTTGTTTGTTATTAACAACCAATAATCTAAAGTTTATAAAATGCAAAGCAATCAAAATATGACACAATTTTTTCAATAATTCTTTTTGTCCTGTAGACACTAAGAAGACTTATTTTCATATAAGGCCTAACCAGCTGAGTTTGGTTAGTCCCATTATGAAGCAGTAGGTGGTAAAGAACTGGATTTTATATGTCTGGGTCACCTATCCATGAAAATTTGAGGATCAGGCTTTAAATTCCCAGAATGTGGCTCAATGCTGGAGTTTTTACCACTTTAGCCGTCTGGCCATCAATTTGACCATTTTTTAATATTATTTATTTCAGTTTTCACATTTACATAACATAAATTATATGAAATTATGTTTCATCATTAAAAGTATAATTTCATTTCTGTTTTTATACTTTCATTCATTAACTGAAATTATAACAATTTTCAATATCCAAACATTTTGTCATAAAGATCTTTGAAAACATTCATTTCATTTTTGATTTAGATTAAAATAAAAAATATTATATAAAGTATTTCAGTTGAGCTTACAAGGAAGCACTCCAGAAATTAAACTTCTAGAAATTAAGGAACTTATTTGGAAGATTATCTTGTATCTTGTCTTTTCTCATCCTGAGGTGCACTAAATTTTGAGTTGTAAGGATTGGGAAATATGTATTTTGTTCAAATGTTTAGATTAAAAATGGCGACTCCTAGGTTGAGAATGCTACAGCACGTAAACATGGTGCTTAAAATTATATTATATAGACATTAATAGTGTATTTATTTGTAGTGCCGTGCTATATTGCAAGAATCACACTGTCTAATCATGGAAGAAAAGGTTAAACTTTTCAGACCACTCACATATACAGATTCCCCAATCCTTAAAACTCAAAATTTAATGGACTTAAGAATGGAAAATATATATGCTGATATTTAGGGTAGGAAAATATGAATATCAGAATGGCTGGAAATTTTTTAAATAACTGCTTCAACTTCTAGAAGTTTAATTAATTTCTTGGGTACTTTGCTTGTTAGTATAAAACTGTATATTTCTATTTGAATAAGAATAGAAAAATAAATTCAAATAAGTTGAATGGTAGTTTATACACAGTATCAAATAACAATTTTTTAAAATAAATTGAAAACATACATTTTATATAAAAAATATTGAAATTGCATGCCACATTAATTTTATTTTGAGTGGAAGTTTTCAAGGCTACATTATGCAAACATTTTTTAATTTATACTCCATTCTTTTATTGTATTTAAAAATTTTTTTTTTTAATATTCAAGTTTATGCAACAAAAATTATTATCTTAACACATGATATTTTTTCTATTTCCAGGAGAAGGAGGCTTTGCAAAAATGTCTTTCTGACATCAAAGTTTTGGCCACTAGAGCACAATAAAACAACAAAGAAAGAAAATAAAAGCTAAAAGAATGTAGATTGATAACATAGGGATGAAAGAATAAATATTTTAAAATTCTTTCGAAAATTTGTATAATTTTATTTCCTCACAAAATGTATTTAAGAAATGAAGTTAAAATAAACAATGTACTAAATCTTTCTTGTATTGTTAGGGATTAAAAAAACACTATTATTCCTACATTATAATTACGAATTTTAATTATTTTTCTACAAAATAAAGCAATTATCTATGGTATTAATTTAAAATATATAAAATTCTACATGCAATATCAGCTCCTACAAATATTATTTACATTTAAAATACTTCAGAACAGAAAAAATAACACAGTATAATGCAAACGGGTATTATTATTATTTTTTATTTCTACAAACATCTTTGCTAACTAAGACATTCTCTTAAATCTAATTAAACCAGACAGATTCTCTTAAGCTTGGAAGCCAAACAAATAGGTTTAATTTAAATATAGATCACAAACATAATTTATTTTCTCCCCGACGTGTAGTAATTTATGTAAGATGTCTATTAAATTTCGATAATTTATTTAATCACCTTTTTTAAAAAAATATATATATAAAATTATAATTTATGGATTTAGGATTGAGATCGATAAAACACACCGCCCCAATCCACGACGAAAACCAGCCGATCCACATTAATAATTTAAAAATAATCATAAATATTTAATAAGGATTTAAATCACGTTCATTATAGTTTTTGAAAATTGAATGGACCACCCGAATTTTTCTCTTTATTATTACTATTTTTTTTTCATTATCATCACGTTGATAACGATCGATAAGGAGCGGGGTTGATAATGACTTTTAATTGAGATTCGACCCGAAGGGGGTTTTTCCAAAATTGTAGTCGCGTAACGAATTGTCGAGCGGATTATCGATCCAACAGTTTTCGATAGTGACTTTAATGTATGACATAGGAGAGCGTCACTAGTGATAAACGATATCCGCTACAAAATGGTGAAGATCATGGCAAAAGTCCAGCCGCACAGACAAAAAAAAAAGTAAGACCACAACTGCACACGTGAAAGGTAAACACATAAACGTGTTATGGAGGGAAACCGTAACAACACGAGTTTAATTTTCTTATAGGATAAAGAAGCGTAACCGAGATTTGAGAGGCCCGCTCGTGCATTTCACGCGACGTGTAGGTTAGAGTCGATGGCGATGTGAAGGTCGAAACGCGACTGAACGCAGAAAATCACGAGAGTAGAAAGTAGACGATCGATATTCAACCCGCCTACAGTGAAGAAGGAGCGATTCTAGCGCCATGCTAGATGACGCAGAGCATGGCTAGGTCAGGAAACTCCGTCATGACTTCCTTCGATAGTTTTAATTATTAGAAACTGAGTCAACATGCCAGGAATAGTAGTGTTCAAAAGAAGGTGGTCGGTAGGCTCTGACGATTTCGTAGTACCAGGTATCATTCTTCTTCTGTTGCACACAGGATGGTGAGTAACTAACCGTTATTATATTATATTATTTTTATTTTTTCCTCCGATTTAAACGCCTCGGATCTTGTTTAATTTCTCTCCCCTCGAGGTCGGCTTTCTTACTGTTTAGGTAAGGTCGGTGTGATGTGGATGCTGCGCTTATTACATAACGGCTATAGCCAACTTTCCCACACTGTTTCTCGATATTGCTAATAAGTCGCCAATCAATGTCAATCCGTATGCTTGGAAAAGCACTAAAAAAAGCACTATTCTGACATTTTGTTTCGTGTCTGCACACGAGCCAAGTAGTTAGTGCTGAGAGAGAAAGCGGCTGTGGGGGGAGACGCGTATCACGTGATGTGATAGTTAACTGTTAAATTTTCGATATAGTCTAAAGTGTCGCACTTCGCCCGTCTGACTGATACTGCTAATAAGCCGCCATTAGAGCTTATTAGCATTTTTCGTGTTAACGAGACAGGAGCACGGTTTTTTTTCTTTATTTTCTAACAATTCGATTAATATGGCAATTTATATAAATAAATTTCGTCCGTCTTCCGGTCACACTTTAGCCATTAATTAATTACTTTGTCTGCAACGGAGAAGTCTGCACTTCATTCGAAAAAATGCATTTAAAAAACGTGGAATACGGGTTTGCTAACGTAAAAATAACGTGTAATATTATAATACAGACGTGTAAAGATATAATGGCGTGTGTTTTGGCACGAAAAAAAAAAAAAATAGAATTTCCTAATTCTTAACACCTTTCGTGCTGCTACCATTTTTGAACTACTACCAAAAGAACGTGCAGCTGGGCCGCATCCAATACCCACAATTAATTTTTTTAAAAAAAGGAAAATAACACCAAACATTGTTTTTCACGTTTCTAAAATGGAAAAAATAACACTTTAATGTGTTTTGTGCTACATTAAAGATGAAGAAACGGAAAAGAACGGGCGTCGGAACATCTGTCATTGGTTTATGCTTAGAATTCTCATACAGTTTTCGTCAACAATTTACCTTTTTGGTGTAAAGTAGGGCGTTTACAGCAGTTTTTTTTCTCTTCCACACCTTTCGCTTAATATTAACTGATTATTTTTCTATTTTATTTTGAAAATTTACTTTTTGGGAATTTCCAAAATTCAATTTTTCAACACGGAGTCAGCTAAAATATGGAGTAATTAACGAGCGAATTTTTAAAGGTTAAAGGTAAACATTTTTGTCTAATAGGCTAGAAGCTAAATAAAAAAAAAAAAGTTAGTAAATTATTTTATGAGCTTGTAATTTTGCTGGCAGCTTAATCTTAATTCGTGACATTAAAGAGAGAAGTTATGTAATTAGAGCCAACGGTATGGCTCTGAAAAAGAACAGATGTTGTACTTCACGCGTGCCTAATTATTTATACGAGAAAATTGAGTGGATGTTGCGTATCAACGACCATATTTGCGTACATCACATTGCTAAGCAATGCATGACGAGTAGAATTTTCTCACTTATCAAAGACTTACACCTGATTTCTCTATTGTTTACCCGACGGAAAATAGGTCAAGCACAGAACTGCAACGCTTATACTTTAATGCGGAAATGAATCGATCGGGCTGGAAAACATAAACACGATTCGTGTTCAGCAACAATTTGCTTTAATAAATCACTAAAATACGAAGGGAAAATTTGGCCACGATTCCACTAAATCTGCTTAAAAATTACTTTTATTTATTTATTTTTTTTAAGGAGACCTTTGACCTTTGAACGAGTGTACATTATCTTCTCGTATCCAAGATATGCTTGACTCGTTACTTGATTGATCGTCGTTACTTAATGTTACTTTTTAAGCCTCACGTTACGATTGCGTAACGTTGTTTCTGTTTCATACAAAAGGCCCGCATTTGTGTAGTGTGTGTGTGTCTCCCGTCGCTGTCCCTTTACTGAGAAGAATTGATTATACCGAAAGGTCAAATGTCCATATCATATGCTTCCGTATACAAACGGCACAATGACAATTGTCGCAAATAAGATATTTAAGTGGCGATTACCAGTTTGCACCTAAAAATTATGTCATTTCTGAGATAAATTTTAAGTTTAGAGTGAAGTTAAAGTCATATTCGCTTATTCTATTCGCTTTTTTTCAATAGAAAATGCAATTTTCGAGTGAGTTTTGCATTCGTAAATGACTGCCATTCGTCGTTTCCGCTTGGAAACGTTACATTCTTAAATTTAAGTACTTATTCCCATTCTTCTCCAGGCTATACAATGGCGAGGAAGTAACAACATAATTCTGTTAAGAGCCGCATCTCGTCTAACCGCAAGCTGTAGAATTATTCTCTACTTAATCAGCTTAACTAGAACACTTACTCCATCGTCTCCTACCTTAGAAATATTCGCAATTATTAAATAAAATCATCCGGGATGAAGAAATACACTTGAATTTTTAATGGTTTGGGAATTTAAGTATTATAAGAATTGGCTTATTTTCAAATTTGTCAAACTTATCCGCCTTGCTTACCTTATCAATCACTATAATCTAACTTAATTTTCTTGCGTATCCTTATCGTTTTACCTCAACTTTATTGTAAAATCTGCAAGCCAACGACAGCATCATTTTGTTTATCCATCGCTCTCATCTTCTATTAAAAAAAGAAAGAAAATATCTCACTAAGTTATCATCTTTCACCTCTTACACGTGACATAACTAAACATTATCTTAATTATACTTAATTGCTTAACTAAGATTAGCTTATGATAATAATGATAAACGTCTTGGAGATAATTCTTAAATGCAATAACGTGCAAAAATCGAGGGATTAATTGAGATTAGTCAGCATTAGGGAGGATATTTTTGGTAAATTATAATGTTTATCATTCGCCTCATGTCTTTAACTACTGGGAGGAGGGAGCGTGAAGTTTTTTAAATCTCATCACCTGACTTGGACAGGGTCCAGAATGTTATTCAGCATAAGGTTTATAATCCGCGAAACTGCGCTACTTCCCAATCTTTTATAATTGCAAAAGATTTAATACGATCCGAGTGTTTATATTATTCCACCAAAATAGAACATTTAATTAAAATTTTAAAAAAAGTAGTGTTTACATTATCCTCTTCGCTACACACTTCTACATTATGGCGGTTGCTCAGATATTTTCTGTTTAATCGAAATGCTGTAGCTTCACTCTCTTAACTTCTAGAGACGAGTTAATTCGCATATTTTTCATTGGGATCGATAAGCATAGTGAATTTGTATAGATGTAAAACTAGGAGCGGTGGGGGGATCCTTCACTGAGGTTTACCAATCTCTCTTTTATCTGTAGGCTATATTGAGATAAGTCTACATACTGTGGACAGATCGAGATTCGCCAGTTAAATCATAAACTAATCAAAGCTTTTCGATGATTCATTGAATTGATTATCGAAGGAATGGATAAAAAAGAATCTGAGGAGTGGAGGGAAAATGGCGCGTAGAACGGGAAATTTAGGATATGGGGAGAAATTTCAGGAGAAATAAGAAGTAGATAATGTATTTTCATAAAGATTTATTCAAATATTCTATCGATAAAACGATCGACTAGATATGCACTACTTTAGTTTCGTGTTGGACATGGAAGATAATGTTACCAACCGATCTGAAATTCAAGTAGAGAAAATTCCCATTTTTTTTCTTATTTACAAAATTTTACTTATCAAAACTGACTCCTAATATTAAATACGATTCTAAACGGATAGTTTTGTCAGTTTAGAAACCAACTTTAATTCAATGTTAGAACGTTAAGAGATGCGGAAGGGAGACAATCAAGATCTAAACCATGATAAAATCAAACTTCCAACGTAAAATTTTAATTTATAACATTCTTAATCCATTGAATTAACTAATTTCCTATAAAGTTTATGTTGTAAAATGGCCACATAATTCTTTAAGTCGTCGTAATTTACATTTTAAATCGAGAGTTGATGGTTTATGAGAATAATAAAGCTTGCTTTGTATGTAGTTTCCATTCTTCTTGAGGCTAATTTCTTGCTTTGAAATTTACCAAAAAAAAAAAAATTACAATTCAAAATGTGTAATTTATTCCACTACATGCTGAAGTTATTTGCATTTTTCTCTTGTTTTTCCCTACTAAAAGCTAAGAGTACAGTTAGTATTTTAAGAGAAAGTGTTATCATGTATTCTGGTTGAGAAGGGAAGTTCCTTATAGAGAATTAAAAAACACATTCATGTCCTAATATACTCCAGAAAATTGCATTTTCTTGGCGATTATATTATAAGACTTGTGTAATGAAAATAAATCATTCATATATAAATCATATTATAAATATGATTTCAAATGTAATGAGCATTTACTTCTTATCTCTTCCTCTGTAAAAGATGATGTTGGATTTATGCGCATAATTTCGGAAGTTTTGGTGGTTTCTTTATCACGTCTTCAGGATAAAATGTGTAAGATTTTAGTGATATGATTGGTTGGTTCGGAAAATGAAAATAAAATCTGTTGGAAAAATAAAATGGGAGATACATTTGCATTTATTTTTTCTAATTTTTAACCTGTCTACGAAAATTTATCTCGCGAATGGATGGAATTGTCGAGTTTTATGGAGGAGCCATCAATTACGTATACAGTTTGAGCCACTTTAGACTTCTCCTCCCTTCCTGTTGTGTACATGTGTACTTTTGGCATACCCCCTTTAACTACGTGTACAATAGTTCATGGACCCCGGAATTAAAGAAATGACTTTAAAAAGTCCTGCAAATATTTCTTAATTCATAGTTTATTCACGTGACTACGCTTACAAGAACACATTTGTATGCCATTAATGCCACTAAAAAACTAGACAATGCTTCCACCTCTTTCCTCACCATTGTGTACAACAATGTACTTTTCGCGACCCCCTTAAACTGTACACTTAATTAAAGGACGGCCCTAAATTTTCAGTTTATTCTTTAAGTTCAAATATCAAGGAAAATCCTGTACTAAAATAGTTTCGTATTGTATTCTAGTGTATTTGAATTCTAATGTGAAATAACAAGACA